ACTTTTAAAAGGTCCTCAACGCCTAACCTTCTAAAGGTATTTTGCAACTTCAATACCTTCAAAAAGTCTCCAACATCTAGAAGATCTTCCACACCTAGTGGTGTAAAGATCTATAAGTCGCTACCGCCTATACACATCGACATTCTGTACACAGGTCTACATTCTGCTGTCTCGGTATCGGCAGAGGACAGTCAGAATTATACTATAGGCACTGTGTATAATATCTTAAATATACCTTCGGCTCCACTGTTAGAATCGATTTCGATGTTTCACTCATAACTTCGTTGATATTCTCACGTAAATCGTCCATTTCAATAACACTAAAATAGAGAATTTTAACATAATAAATTGTGATCCTCTATACATAGAAAACTTTATTAAGGTATCTTATAAACGGATTTGGTTAACCCAGTGGGTTTAAATTTTCAATTCCTTTGAATATATGCCAAATAAATCCTCAGGTAAAAAGTTCTAATGTAAATGCCGTATTATAAACTGACGACGCACAATGGGTTAGAATACCCTGTTTCCTTGGATTAATTAAAAAATTAAATTTTAAGTATCGTTAAAATTTTTTTGCACACGGTTAAAGTATATAAAATTCTACATCATTTGTCGTTAAAATTAATGTCAAAAGAGGACTGGTGTTTTTGTAGTGAAACTTCAAAGTCAAACTTCATACAAATTTTTGTGCCAAAAAAGGCTGAAAAAAGTGAAAACGTTCCCGTAGAAAATTTTATTTATTTTAAAAAGTATTGTAAAAGTTAACTTTTTCAACGGAACCATGAAGTTTAGGTTATTTTGCAAATACTTCGTTAACATTTGAATATGAAATTGTGTTTGGAAGTGATTAAGATTTAGTTATTTATATTGAAAATGCCAAAAAAAATTAATATTTTTTTATTTTAAATGGATAAATAGTTATTATTCGTCCACATTCGTGTCATAATTTTTGGTTTATATTAAAGAGGACATAAATCTGTGTTATATTGCAAAATTTTACGCTGCTCTTTTGTGCCTTTTAGAAGCTATGCGTTGTTTAATACAAGTGTTGTAGCAGTCAAATTAGCTAAAAGTCACATTGATCTCGTGGCTGGTGCTGTTGTTGAGTGTTGTGTTTTCTTGTTTTTCATGTTATTTTTTCTAATTATTTTATTGTTGTTATTTTTGTTTCTTTTAATGATATTCTTTGTTACAATAATATTTTGTTTTTGTTTATTTTAATAATATTCATTGTTTTGACAAATAGTGATTGTGTTGTGCAGTTTCAAGTAGTCGGGTAAAAGCGTTCTTTATTAGCATTTTTTATAGGTACAAGTTCGAACGTTGTTTTTTATAATCGTCGAAGCTTATGATGAATTCGAGCGCTCAAACAATGAATGACAAGATGACATTTTTAGCTAAAGAAATCAAAAACACGCACCAAAACGCTAGAAAAATCTGCCGAAATAACAAAAATATATGTTAATTTAATAAAAATGCACGTGTCGGTTATAGCTGTATCCAGTGGCCATGAGATTAATAATGAAAATTTTCAAATATATGCACACAATACAGGACGACTTTTTGTTGAAACGTATCCTTTGTATAATATGCCTACCACTTTGCACAAGTTTTTTATTCACGGACCCGAAATTGTGTCAAATGCCCTTTTACATATTGAGCAATTATCAGAAGTTGGTGATGCTGCGGACAGAGGTGGCCTGTGAGAAACAGTGACGTAAATGTCATACACCCACTCAAAACCATTATGTTTTTTATAAAATGGCTATTAACATTTATCGAGTTGGAAATAACGTATGCTTTACTCAAATTCATATCGAATATCAAAATTTTTTTCTTAAAAAAAATTCGGAATTTTTTATCAGTTCTCGTAAAGAATAGCCAGATATACAGTAAAAATAATATATGTTCTTGAAAATGACTGTATATGGTGATAATATTGAAATAAATGACGTTTACTACATTTTATACAGGTATATGTCGTTTTCGACGTTTACACCTTTTTGACAGTCGAAATCCTGAAAATTCGTCATACGGACCATCCCCGGCTGCGGATGATGACGATGTGGATGATTAACTTTAAGATGTATAAAATTCAATGTTTAAGTTATCATATTGTACTCCTTGCACTATATACCTACACTGATATTTGGCACTACTTAATAAAATTATACTCAAATATACTTAGAAAACATTTTTTTTAACTTATTTTAATGGTATTATCTGAAAAATAAAGAAAAAATATTCTAACATAGCTTCCCTGATTTGGTCCAAGAAAACATGGTACTCTAACCCACTGTGCGACGTTCGAGAGGCATTTTATACATCATTTTACTCATACCAGCCATCCTAAAAATGCTAGGCGTCTTTTACATACAAAGAACGTATGGAGGTCATCTACCATAAGGAAGAGAACATAAAAACATCATCTTTTTTGCTAATCTTTTGTAAAAGCTCCTACTAGATATACCTATATAAATTGCAAATGTAGATGGGCATTTAAATTTGAATTAATTTATGTATATTTGTTTAATTAATTTATATATTATTTATTTCATTTAAAAATGTAATATATAGTAAAAAAAATTATAAACAAATTTATTTATTCTCAAAAATTACTGATTATACATAATAAATACAATTAAAAGGAGAAACATATTTAAAAAAATCTATAACATAAAAATATACCAAAACGCTTAATGCCAAACCTCCACCTATTACATTTTAATTGTGGTAATTTTACGATATAACCAACTATAATAGACATTCTCCTTGCTGTACTCCTTTTCCTCGGCACCAAAACATTCTGAAATATTCGGTGGGAAAATATTCTCCATATTGTAATAGAATGTTGACTTGACTTCACGTAATTTATTTTTCGATTTCATTGTAATACGTCGTGAATGTGGATCTTTACCCTCTAAATGTTCACGTATATAGTGCGCTGATAATTGAATTTCCATTTCATCAACCAAAGAATCGTTTATTGAATCTATTATACGTGGTGGTTTTCGTAAAAGTTGATCACAAACTTCATAGTACACACTGCTTATATTCAAATGTATATGAATCATAAGAAGATGTTCCAACGTACAATGGATTTGTAATAATTTTGATAGAGTCTTAGCCGTCTCAAGTTCATCAAAATTGCTATTCTTAAAGCCGACCACATCATTTTTCATGGTATTTACATTACTCTTGACATCGTTGTGTAGCAAAGTTTTACGCATAGCAGCACTGTCCTGCAATACAGCATTACGTAAAGATTTTCGTACATTCGGCACTGTTGAGGAGTTTTCCTTGTTCTCCTGGGCAACTCTAAAAGCAAAAATTAAATTAAAAACAACATTATAGGAATTTTTTATTCCCTTACCCCTTATTTTTCAAATCATTGGCACTGCATATTTTACTCTCCACAAATATATATTCATAATCTTTGTATAGCTTTTCCAAACCAATTTCCAATAACAATTCCAAGGGTTCTGAGCCCGATAGGCATGGTATGGCCAAACGACGATTTGCAACTTCGGTTATAATTTCAGCTAAACGATTTTTATTTGTTGGTGTATTCTAAAACAAAAATCAATTACAAAAAAATAGTACATCGACAAAATTTAGTTTACTTACCACAATATTACAGCGCGCTGCACATTGAAATAGTATATTGAATGCCATTTTCAAATCTTTATATGAAGAACATCCTATAAAGAGGGGGAAATAAATCTATAAAAACGTATGGATTCCTTGCTGGTATTATCTTACTTTTCAAGATATCCCACAGTTTGTCGGTCAAATCCGACAATCGCCGTGTTTTGGCACTTTGTATGACATCTTCAATATCACGTTCTGCCCCACTGTTAGAATCAATTTCGGATATTTCAGTCATAACTTTGTTGATATTCTCACGTAGCTCGCCCATTTCAATACCACTAAAAATAGAGAATTTAAAGAAATAAAATAAATTAGGAAGATCTTCAAGAGGAACAAACAAACAGAAAACTTTCTAGAGGTCTCTTATACATTGACGATTTCTAGAAGTATTTTATACATCCTTCTACTCATAGAAACCGTCCTAGACATTCTAGGTGTATTCTACACACAGAAGACCTTGGAGAGGTCAACTATACCCTGAATTCCTTGTAGAGGTCATCTAAATACTGAATTTCTTGAAGAGGTCTTCTACACACAGAAGTTATTCTAGAGGTTCTCTATATGAAGAATTCTTTTTAGAGGTCTTCTATATACGAAACAGGTTCTCAATATGCATAACACCTTCTAGAGGTGTTTTGTATATAGAATGCCTTTCTTCTAATACACAGAAGACCCTCTTGATGTCTTCTAATGTTCAGAAGACCGCGCAAACGCAGAAGACCTTCAATCTTTAATAACAGAAGACCGTCTGGAGGTCTTCTGTACAAAGAAGAACATCTGGACTTCAGTGTACATACAAGTCCTTCAGAACGTTTTCTGTGTGAATAGAAGTCTCTCAAAAGGTCTTCTGCATATAGAAGAGAATACCTTTTGAGGGACTTCTATTCACACAGAAAACATTCTGAAGGACTTGTATGTACACTGAAGTCCTTCTGAAGGACTACTATGCACACAGAAGACTTTCTAAATGTCTTCTATACACAGGGATGATCTTCTGATGGTCTTCTATAGATACAAAATAATTTCTGGAGTTTTTCTATTCACACTGAAGACCTCTGAAGGTCTTCTATGTACACAAAAAAAAACTTTTGAAGGTCTTCTATATCCTACTACTATATATAGGTATTCTATAAACCTTTTCTGAAGACCTTCCATACACACAGAAGATATTTTTAATGTCATCTACATCCTTCTTCTGAAGGATATATATGACAGAATTCAGAAGATCTTCTGAATATCTTCTATATACACAGAAAACCTTTTGAAGGTTTTCTACATACACAGAGGATTTTTTTGAAGGCCTTTATATACACAGAATATCTGCTGAAGGTCTTCAATACACCCAGAAGACCTTTTGATGTTATTTTATACACCCAGAAGACCTTCGGGACATCTATACACAGGTCTACATTCCCCCATTCATATAACTTACATTCCACATCTGTAAATTGGGTCCTTGGAAATATCAGCACTTTCAGCTTGTTTATACGATAAAATATCATCGCGTATTGTTGTCAATATTCTCAATTGGTTTATGAACACCTCTGTCGATGATGACGATTCACTTAGACGATATGTTTGTGTTAGGGTAACTTCACATGTATTCAAATCAATTAACGACGGTATCATCGATGCTGTAGACCATGAACATTTCAGCGATATATTCGATTTGACATGATAGGTATTCTCAATGTGTGTCTTTACCGTTGCCCCCTTGCCAATTAATGAATAATGTTGCTGTAATAGACTCTGTGTTGTAACACAATATGAAGGCACAACACCCATATACGAGATAATACCGCGAACTGCATGTTGTGGTGAAAATTCATATTGTAAAAGAAGTGTTTTTGCAGCATCAGTGCCGGAACAAAGAAACCACACTGAACCAAGGGCATCTTTAGCCGCAGGACCACGTTGAAAATCAGAACTGCATATAATAGATCTCGCCTTTTCCACGGGAATACCTTTATGATATTCTTCTTCCATTTTCCATGGATTTGTGGCAATTAAGTTGATATCCAGAGACATATCAGCAATTGCATCCACATCACAGTCATCCTTTAGGGGGCTGCCGGTTAAATCTAAATCATCTGGTGATTTACCAATTTTCAATTTCGACGGTGACATAAAGTTCATGGGTTGTTTGGCTTTGGAACGATCCTGCAAAAATGTGTTTGTATGTGTCACAGCAACTATCAGTAAACACTTGAAGGCACCTCACTTACCTCAATATAAAAGAGGACAATTTTTCCTGCATTTTCATGTGGTCCAATAACATTGTTAATATATGAGGGCGTGGCACAGTATGTAATCATATAATTATTATCATATTTTCGTAATAAACTTGCATAAATGTTTGCTAAATTTGAAGCTGAAGTCATTTTTGGGACGATGATCTGTTGATAGTTTGACTAGTGGCGTTTGCAATTTTCAAAATGTTTAGCTTTTTTCGCCAAAACGAGAGTGTGGCCACTAGATTTAAATTCTGTATTGAAACTATGTACCAGAGGTCGCTAACATATTTGGAATTAGTGCAGAACGTAACGTATGAAAACAATTACCCCCAATAATACCATTTACAGACGAAGGTTGTTCGCTTTCGTTGTTCGACGCTTAATTATAAGGTAATTACTTAGTTCTCCATACAGAATTTTTTGAGCGAGCACAGACTTTTGTACATTGTTCAATTCGAATCACTATCTGAATAACCACGAAATTTATCCCATCCCTAACAATTGAGAGCATTTATCGAAAATAAATTAATTTTGACAGCTTGAAAATATTTATAAAATTTTCAAACTTTTTTTAGTAAAATTGAAAATGATGAATGAAAAGTAAAAAAGTGTCTAGATTTTATATATGCAGCAGGATGTAAATTTTGTAATCTACATAATGCAATATGAAATTCTATGAAATTCTCTTGGTTCTAATTAGCGTATAAAACAAGAAACAAATTTGGGGAAACTCAAACAAAAAATTCTCCAAATTTTTATATGTGACATTTGAATTTAGAAAATATAAAAATGTATGAAAACAACAATATTTTCAGAAAATATGGAAAACATGAATTAAAAGTTAATAGATATGGGTTCATATTATAGTCAGGAGAAAGAGAATTCATTTTTCTATTTAAATCCATATGTGATTCATGCTAATATGTTAGAATTTTGGTGTAAAACAAGAAACAAAAAAATTTGAAATAAAAAAACTCTGATGACATGAATTAAGAATATTGTATGAACGGGTTAATTCATGTACGTAATTCTGAGAGGGAACTACGTTGTTCGAATGCCTGTCAGAACATGGCATAAGTTTCACTTAAATTTTAATTTATTTGTCATATGTGTTGACACATAAATTTGACAAAAGAAGCCACTACCTACAGAGTTGGTTTTTGTTATTCACATTTGTTTCTTGTTTTGTACATTAATTACAACCGAAGAATTCTGAAAATGATTTGAATTGAACATGCATGCTATTTACAGACATTCAAATATTTTAATCGAGACTTGTCAATAAAAGTCGGTATTGTAAATATATTAATTTAATTTGTTCTCAATATATAGCTATTGCTATTACAAGTTATATTTTTAGATTATAGAGTCAGGGAATTCAAAATATTAGTTTGGGGAAAAAGAATTTTTTCGGCAGATGGCTGTACTGATAGTTTTATCGTAATGTATATATCAAACAATTTCAGATTTATGCTCGTTGGAAGGGTGACATTTCGCAGTAATAAAAGTATTTTCCCGTTTTTTATTTGGTACATTTAGTTGAGAGTTACAGGGTGTTAAAAATGGAAGTGAACAAAGAGAAAATTCGTTACATTTGAAGTTTTTCATTGACAAAGGCGAACATGCAAGCCAAGCGGCTAAAATTGTGAATGGTGTTTACTGTTACGATACTCTAACAGCCAATTATGTCCAATTTTGTTTTCGTAGATTCCGTTCAGGAATGTTTTGTGTTAAAAATGCACCTCGCACAGGTAGGCTAGTCGTCGAAAATGTCTATAAAATCGGAGAAATGATCGAAGTTGGCCGGCATGTTACCACTCGTAACATCGTCTAGGAGCTACAAATCGACCATAACTGTTTCAAGCCATTTACACCAAATTACACAAAAAAATTAATTTCGTTTTCAACAACCTAAAACTGTTTGTACATTAGAACTTTTTACATGGTTAACCGACTTTATGAGGATTTATTTGACAGATAATTTAAACCCATTGGGTTAACGAAATCCCGTGCAGTGTAAATATACTGTTATATTATACAACAATAATATTTCGGTAATTTTTCCCACTGAACATATGTAGTGCTAAGAATTCAAAGGAGGATATTCTTATTTAAATTTTGAAGGCTAAATGTTGTCAAAAGGAAAATTATGAAAAATTGGAATCATATGTCTGCATGAGAATACCTTGCATAATTATGCCATGATAATACTAATGTCCTCGAAATTTCAATTCAAAATTAAAAACTTAACATTCAACAATAAAATATCCAAAATTAATAATTTATTTAATTTTAATAGCGCTTTAATTCGGATTTTTTTTTAATATTCAATTTATTTTTATTTTTTGAAGCAACATTTTATGTTAATATTTAACCCTTTGTATCCCAATGTTGCCCACAGGCAACACAGAACGCAGCTAGTAAATATATATTTTTTGGAATACAATGTCAAAAGAAAATTCTAAAAAATCAATTTTTTGTTCAAGTTATGTGCTTTTTAATATAGAAAAAAATGTGTCCAAATTATTTAAATCGCTTCTTATTCGAATATGTAATATGAATTGCAACACCAGAACAATTTTTTTATTTTAGTAAAAAAGAAAATAGATACATTGCATTTGGTTATCTTGATATTGGATTTTTATTTTCCAGAAAGAATGTACTATATTTCCCAATGGATGTAGCGACGTCAAATTTTGTTCATATCCTATTTAGGACAGTTGCATTAAAAATCTGTACACATAAAATTGTTCCATAAAATAAAGGGTTAATGTAATTTGAATTGGCACTTGTATTGCCCTCAATAACATGTCAGACGCTTGCAGTTACCTTGTATTATTATGAAATCAATAAATCAATACCGTCTACGTCACGTTAACCCTGTTCGCAAATACAGTGGTATATATTTGACGTATAGCTTCCGAATTGACATTTGAGTTAGAGTGGTTTTCGTAAATCAAAATACACTTCAATATGATATTTTATTTTTCAAATCATTCTACCAAAAATTTACTATGACGTAGTCAGCTTCATAATAGATACGCTTTGCTATCACTCACATTACTTAAACAATTTGACGTGTGGCCGTGTAGCTTACGTGCTAACGTATGACATGACATAAACATTTGGTAAACATTAAAGTTTGACAAGCAGTACGGGACGCACGTGTATCAGCTACAGTGTTTTTATTTTCAATATTTAGTAGATTTTTTCTAATTTCTTCTGATAATTAAACACACACAAAATGACTGAATTAGAATTTCAGGATTCTGAATACTCATCAGAGGATGAATCAGAAGAAGAGGTAAGATATAAAATAAAATTTTGTAACATTAATCGTATAACAAAAATCTACTCTATTGTAGTTGCAAGAAGCATTTGCTCGTGGTGATTTGAAGCCCGGTCTAAATATTGAATATCAAAAAAGGGAAAAAGTCAACAATATCGTAAGTATTTTGAAAATGAAGGCTGTTCGGAAGCAGAAAGTAATATTATTGACTCTTCATTTCAGACTGGTCTTCTTGCCAAGGCTGATGAAATTAAACTTGATCTGCCATGGGTAGAACGTATGGATATGATCAACGATTTGGCACCACTGGCACCTGAAATGGCTATTGCCCTGGAAAAACATGAACAAAAACGGGCCAATTTGTTTAAGGGCAATGCCAAAATCCCCTATGTACGTCCCGAAGAAGATCCTGTTTTGAATGATTTCAAACGTGAAATGTTATTCCATCGCCAAGCTCAGGCTGCTGTCATTGAAGGCATTCGTCGTCTACATGAATTGGGAATTAAGACAAAAAGGCCCGATGATTATTTTGCTGAAATGGCTAAGACAGATGAACACATGCAAAAGGTGCGTGCAAATCTAATGGCCAAACAGGAGGGACAGGCCAAATCGGAAAGAATTCGACAAATTAGGGAACAACGTAAAATGGGCAAAATCTTGGCCAAACAAACTAAAGTACAAAGAGAAATGGAAAAGAAAGACATGCTCGATAAGTTGAAGAAATTCCGTAAGGGTAAATTGAAGAATTTAGATTTCCTTGAAGATGCCAAGGCCTTGGAGGCAAAGACAAAGAAAACAGCTGAGAAGCGTAAGCAACGTGATAAGAAATTCGGGTTTGGTGGCAAAAAGAAGGGTATGAAACGTAATACAAAGGCCTCCGCTGCTGGTTTGGAAAATACAAAGGTACCTAGACGTCGTGTTGGATCAAAGGCTGCACCGGGCAGTAAACGTTTGGGTAAATCCAGACGCCAGAAAAATAAAAGTAAAAAATAGATGTAGGGTTACTTTTAAATAATAATAATTATAAAAACAACAATATATAATTACAGTTTTATTTTTATATAAATAAATGTAGGTTTATATTCAATATATGTATTAAATGTGTTATTATTGGCATGTTTTGAAACTATGGCGGTTTGTTTGCGAAGGAGACGGCAGCTTTATATTGAACTTATGTCAAAACATTGACCTATTTTTAAAAATCGCTATGAAACAATTATTTTCCTGTAAACAATACCGACTGTAAAAATTCGCTTAAAAATACTTTCCTTTTTATGAGAACTATGTCATCACCCATATCGAAACATTTTTAAAATGCCAGTAAAACCTAAATGGGGCGGCATGATACTATTTAAAAACTCGAGCTTTTTGAATTCTAAACATTCTAGGAGTAGTAGCAATGTATGTGTAATATTTCAAATAACAATCTTAAATATTTCGACATTTATCGCGATTTTAACACACAGCTGGAAATGTTTAAATCGATATACTATTTTATTGCGATCAAGAAACTTGTTGTTAAGAGTTAAAAAAAACTTGGGAAGATTGGCCTTCTCCAAAATATTTTTCTGTAATCAACAGGTTAACAATGATATCAGTGAATGAATATCAGAAGATAAATATAGAACATATAGATCCATAACCCAGGAAGTGTGGATCAGGCTCCAAAGGCTAATTCGAAAATGTTAATTTTCTGCAACATGCCCTTCAAATAAATTAAAAAACTTTTGTTGATATTAACTAAAAATTTATTTGCTACTCTTCCTTTGATTTCGATTTCTTTTTGTTTTTCTTCTTTTTGGATACTGTTTCATCCACAGCAGGTTCAATATTTTCTGGCGCTTCAACAATATCTGAATCTTCCACCATTTTAGCTTCCTTGTCCTTTTTCTTCTTTTTGTGCTCCCCTACATTTTCTGTAGGATTTTCTTCCTCAACCTCTTTTTGCTTCTTTTTCTTTTTATGTTTGATTGGGGAATCTTCTTCAGTTACATTGGAATTTTCCACATCAATATCTTCTGTTGTCTCCTTCTCCTGTTTGTACTTTTTCTTCTTTTTTGGTTTGGAAGGAATTTCTTCTGACACTGTGTTACACTCTAGCTCTTCATCCTCATCACTTTTTTGCTTGCGTTTCTTTTTCTTCTTTTCCGAAGTTTCTGTTAACTCAACATTCGATTCTTCATTTGTTTTCTCCAATGTTTGCTTTTTCTTCTTTTTGTTATCTGTGGAATTTTCTTCCACCCCAGCTTGATTTTGTTTGGCTTCCATCATTTTGGCTAATAACTCATTTTCTTGCTGTTCTATTCGGGCCAATTTTCCACTTAATTTCAAACCATGTCTGGCACCTTTATGGGCAGTTCTACCACCACATGCTTTAAATAATTCCTCATCCGTCAACACATTTACTGTGGGAATTTCAATGTCACTCGGTTCGGGACGATCGCCCTTTTCAATTTCTGAACCACGACTTGTGAGAGTGGCCGATTGTATAAAATTATTATATGATTCCGATTCACCTTTGGCTTTTTTCAATTTCTTAACGGAATATCCTTTTGTGGTGATTTCTACACCATCTGCTTCATTCTTCAAGTCGACGGTAATAGATTCTCCATCCTGCTTGATGTCCACATTGTTGGCAGCGTCATTGAAAACTCTTTCCCACCAATGGTTATTGAAGTCGGTAGCTGCCTGATCTACACCAAAACCTGCGGTGTCGAATTTCAAATTGGCCCGCAAAGCTTTGGATATGCCACTGTTGGTCTTACCCAAGCCATCACCATCTTTCCAGCCATATTTTTCAAGGATTTTACGTGCAAAATCCATTGGTTACCAAAAGATGTAAAAACAACGTGGGTCAAAATCAAAATATAAACAGACGAGTTGTTGTTGTTTTAGCAGAAACAATGGTCGAATGAATATGTTCAGTGTAAATAAACTACTAGACAACAGCTGCAGAGATGTTGCCACATTGAAAGACAAATTCCAAAAGCAACAACTGCAGGGTGAATGGGCATTAAATTATTGAATTTTTATTATATCGCTAAGTGTTTCAAATGGTCTCTTATAAGAACACCAAAATAAAAATATAAAAAAAATTAAACAACAAAAAAACACCAATGGTTATGTTCGGTGTAATTATACCAGGCCTTGGTCTAGTGGGTATGTTCAGTGTATACAAACTTGATAACTGCTGCAGATATGTTGGCACATTGAAGTGCAAAATTTAGTAAGCATGGGAATGTTGATAATATTAAATACTTTTATATTAAATACTTTTTAATTTTCAAGATTTATGCATTCAAAATACAATGCAAAGAATATAAATTAGCTATAATTAATAAACACATAAGGGGTGTGTTCAGTATATACATAACCATAAATGCTCTAATGGATATGTTCAGTGTAAATTTGTTATGTCCCTACTGAAAGGTGAATGTTGTTTTTGATTATTAAATATTTTAATTTCATTTGATTTTTAAACACGGTGTATTGTTTTGTCACCTTATTCGTAACAAAAGAGTATTTTATCAAATCATAGTTATTGTGAATGTCATATGTAGGCTATTGTGAATTCTTTGTTTGGTCTTGGGACAGAAGCAGAAAAAGATCCAAACAAAATAAAATTATAAATTTCTATTTAAAATTCCAAAACAGTTTTAGAGAAAATGCCGATTATGTACAATACTGGCGATTGGTTCGTACTACGGCCAACAACATATAGGTAATGTACAAATATATAAGACCATATAAAATGGTGGGGGTAAACGCTCCAATATTTTCATTGACTAATACCTTCCCCTATATATGTTTCTTTTTGTAGAAAATTTGATTTATATCCACCGGAATGGCCACTAGATCTGGATTTGGAATATATGACTGTTGCATGTGCACCATATGGTGGTCCGGTTGCTGTCACCCGCGATCCCAATAAGATTGTACCGGTTAAGGGCACAGCAAAGCCTGTAATACGTATTTTTGATACTGCCGGACAGGAGCTGGGAAAGATATGGGTAATAATCAATACACTAATCTGTAATTATACAATCAGTATAAAAATTCTGATACGACGAATATTTACTTCTTCCAAATATCGGTCCAAGTATCTTTGAAGCAAATCTGTGTAAGAAGTTAATTTTTGGCTGGTGCTCACGATGCCTCTAGATGCGTTTACCTACTTGATACAAACTTTGCAGATTGATGTGTCCATCCTAAGTTCGAATAAAGGGATGTTGAGACTTAATACTAGCTTAAGGCCCGGTTGTGGATCGTTTTTAAATTTACAAGGATATAGTAGAAATGAAAATTCAATTATTTTTTATTGAAAAGTCACCTCTATTCTATTTAAAAAACGGCTATCCGTCGTATAGCCGTTGTTGGCATGTACCCATAGGAAAACGTCTTAAATTCTCGGGCGAAGGCTAACCACATATCAAAGCTATTCTATGTAGATAGAGATTCTGTCGCATAGCCGGCATCTCTCCATAGGAAATTTTTTTAAATCACCGCCAGAAATACCGGAGAAACTGCTCTATTTCAAAGGATTCCCTATCGTGTAGCGGATTATATATAAGGCTCCCTGTAGTATTTTGGTGACTGTAGAATGATCAAATTTTATCCGCTAGATCGAGTCTAATACTGCTTATGATACATCTCATTTTCCTTTCTATTTTCTAATAAATTTTGTATTCCTTTTTAGTGGAATCATGGTCGTCTCATTTCCATGGGTTGGTCGGATACCGAAGAATTGATATGTGTACAGGAAGATGCTTTGGTATTCATATACGATATGTTTGGCAATGAAAAGGAATCCTATTGTATTGGTCAGGAAGCCAGTGAGACAAAAATATTGGATGCAAAAATATTTCAATCTTCAGCGGGCACTGGTATTGCAGTTATGACCACAAAACACCGAATATTTCTAAAGCACACAAGCAGTAAGGATTTTCGATCTAGACTGTTACCGGAAATACCAAGTAATTTTTTGTATAAATATTCATTTCTAGAATAATATTTAATATACGTCTGCAATTTTAGAATCCCTTACAAATTGCACATGTTGGGAAATTGTTACCGAAGATCGTAACAGCTATTGTCTGTTGGGACGTGAACGTGAAGTTATAAAACTATTTCCCGGCGAATCGGTGGGCTCTGTTATACGCAACCTGTTCGATAAACCATTTGAACGTATCATCCTAATGTCTGTCTCCTATAATCATCAAAATTTGGCCCTCTACACCAATAATGGTATCGTATGGATGGGTAGCATTGATATGAAACAAAAATATTGTGAATTTGATACGGGACGTAAAGATATACCCAAGCAAATAGAATGGATAATGAATGTCGATAATGATCAGTCGGAGGCAATTGTTATTGCATATCCTTCATTTTTGCTTGTGGTCAATCGTAATGGCGATAAAAATCTTTTCACATATGATCCAGCTATATTTTTAGTTGCCGAAATGGATGGTGTACGCATTCTGACAAATACAACACATGAAATGATACAAAAACTTCCGAAATGTGTACAAAATATTTTCGCCATTAACAGTCAAGAGCCATCGAGTTTTCTCTTTGAAGCCCAAAAGAAATATCAAGAGAGATCACATCAAGCCGATGAATATTTGAGTTTATTCCGTGATCGTATGCAGGTGGCTGTGGATGAGTGTATTGAGGCGGCGGGATATGAATTTTGCACCACGACTCAAAAGAGTTTAATGAAGGTATGTTGAAATGATTAAATTTCACATTGGGAAGAAATTTATTTTTTTTTAATTTAAGACTGCCTATTTTGGAAAAGGTTTTATTCCATCTCACAATCCTGATGAGTATATTAGAATGCTAAGAATTTTACGTGTTCTAAATGCATTGAGACATCCACGCATCGCTGTACCATTAACAATAAAACAGTAAGTAATCATTTAACTCTCCCATATGGTAGCTGGCATATATTCCACCACTGAACTCTCGGGCCAGTAATCCACAATTCTTGACTGATGAGTCTAATTTCCACCTCCTGGGCTATGTCAAAAAGAAATCTGAGGCTCGTAAAATTCAGAAGTTATTGCTGAGAAGCACCTCCATCCTTTACAAGTGACTTTTTATTGCAATTTTTGTTTTGGGTAGATATAAAATACCCACCATTTTGAAGGCCCAGAATCCAGCAGAAGTTCTAAATGTTACATCTTATTTTTTACAGATTTCTATATTTAAAACCTGAAATAATATTGGCCCGTTTGGTCTTTCGAAAACATTATGCCATTGCCATACAAGTGGCAAAACATTTGAAATTACCCGAATCGTGGATTTTAGAACATTGGGCCTATCACAAAGTAATGAATGATAAAAGTAAGTTATATTCAATATAAAAAAATACAAATCGAGTAATTATAACAAATAAATTATTTACAGACGACATTGAGGTTGCACGTAAAATAACGGAGAAATTTAAAAATCCTTCTGTGGAGGGCATCTCATTTTGTAATATTGCCGAAAAGGCACATGCCGCTGGACGTGATGAATTAGCCATAAAGGTATACGATTTACGTGTATATAACAAACATCACTATTAATCATTCATTCCATATTTTAGTTATTAGAACTAGAACCCCGCACGTCGTTGCAAGTTCCACTATTACTGAAATTGGGTAAATACAATCGTGCCGTACAAAGTGCCACACAATCTGGTGATACGGAACTGGTGGCCACGGTATTGTTGGAAATCAAAAAGAAAATGATGTTAACTAATTTTCATGTAAGTGTTGTTTTATCGTTCAATATTAATTTGTATCATAAAAATATATATTTTTTATAGATGATCATTCGTGAATATCCAATGGCATTGAATATCTACAAAAAGATAATGAATGAATGGAGCCGTACGGCATTATATGATATTTACAATACAGAAGATGATCACAAATCAATTGCCGAATATCATTTTCGTAATGCGCTGGAGAGTAATAGTTTAGAATCGAATCTCTCCACAATTGCAAATAGTTATACCCAAGGTAGACGTAATATCGAAGCTGAACTATGTTCGGATACCAGTAAACTAATGAAATTACAAAAGACATTAAATAACAAGTAAGTAAGAACTTAGCTAAATATGTTTTTAACCTTCAAGAATGTATAAAACTGCTAATCTCATCCTGTTTGTTGTGACTAATTTTATGGGTTCGCACAAATTGGACAGTGTAGATTCGTTTATTGATCTTGGAGTTATTTTTTGGACATTAAACTACGTTTCAATTTACATATCGAGTCTTGTATTAACAAAGCCAAATTTTTGTTAGGCTTCATACAACGCAGGTCTGAGCAAACGCTTATTCATTGGTCTTGTTCGACCAACATTACAATATGGCTGTGTACTATGGAACCCTTTTTCATAAATGCTATTCTGGCAAAAATCTGTACAAGTTCAATTTCTTTTATTTGCTCTCAGAAATTTAGCATGGAACTCAAATGAATCTCTTCCAACGTATGAAAATCGTCTGAAGTTAAATGACCTTCCCACATGATCTTTAAATGAAGAATATAACAAATTATATAGAAGTATATCTTTATCTGAACCTCTGCATGTCATTAAAAACTGTATCTTACGTTCTTAGTGTGTAGCCAGGCGTATATCTTGGATTACTTACTTTACTTAGCTGGCTTGTGACAGAACTTTCGTTCCATAAGCCGAGCTTAAAAAAGATTTCCAGGCCCGTCGGTCTTTTGTGCAGTTTTTCCGTGGCCTTCCCATTCTGCGTGAACCATTAGCTGGTTCGCTTATATATGCCTTTTGGGCTGGGGGCATCTTCATCCATTCTCACAACATGACCTAGCCAACGTAGTTTTGCAGGATTGCCAAACGCAGATATGGCTTTAAACACCTCTGAACGGATAGGTCTGACGAATGCGGCTTTATAGTCAACGAATAGGTGGAATGTGTTTTTCCAGTATTTGGCTAGAGTAAATATCTGGTCAATTGTGGATTTGCCAGGCCTGAAGCCGCATTGGTATGGTCCAATAAGGTCATTGACCATTGGCTTCAGTCTTTCACACAGCACTGGATAGCACTTCATATGGGATGGGAAGGAGACTTATTCCTCTATAGTTGCCACATATCGTCGTCTCCTTTTTTGTGCACGGGACACGGTATGCTGAGGGTCCAATCATTGGGCATGCATTCCTCTAGCCAAATTGTACAAATGAGCTGGAGCATGCTCCTGACCAGCATCTGACCACCGGTCTTGAATAGATCGCCTGGTAATCCATCGGCTCCTGCTGCTTTATTGTTCTTCAGCCGATTAATAGACACTCTGACCTCATCTTGGCTAGGTGGTATACACTCTATACCGTCAACTCTTATTGGTTCTGAGGTATCTTCTTCATCGCCAGAAGCTTTTCAAAATGCTCCTTCCAGAACCTTAACACGCTGTATCTGTCACCAGGTTGCCCTCTTCATCTCTACAGAAGGATGTGCCTGCGCCATTCTGACTCTTGTCCTCTCTTTTTTTCTGAAAATACGTTTCTCCTCTCTCCGGAAGCTCTGCATGCCATTAAAAACTGTATCTGACGTTCTTAGTGTGTAGCAACAGTTGACAGGCGTATATCTTGGATTAGTTGTATTTATTTTATTGTTGTTCTTTCGAAATACATTTTTATCGTTTTTTTTTCTCATTTCAGATATTCCAGTATTTATGGTAATGTAACATTTCTTGGTTTATCCATACACGAAACAATAGAAAAACTATTAGATTTGGGTGAATTTAAAGAGGCCGAAAAAATAAAGAATGATTTTAAAGTACCCGATAGAAGGTAGGTTTCATATTTCGTTCCCTATCTATTTGTAATATTAATTAAATTTAAAATTCTCAAACTTTAGATTTTGGTGGCTGCGCATTTTAAACCTATCGAGTAAATATAAATGGGATGAGCTGGAGAAATTTGCCAAAGGTAAGAAAAGTCCCATTGGTTATGAACCATTTGTTGAAGTTTGTCTGAAACAAAATAACCTAACTGAAGCACGAAAATATATACTCAAATGTAGAGATGATCGTAAGACTCATTGGTATATTAGAGCGGAGTAAGTAGTTTATTTACATAATTAAATTAAATATTTGATTTTATGTTTTGCATATTTTTCTTCTTCTAGGTTATATGAAGAAGCTGTTGATACGGCATTTGAACAACGTGATATAAATTCGTTATATGTTATTCAACAAAAAGCCAATTCTCTGGGTAATCGCCAATTACTGGATAAAATTATTACCTATATTGCAATGTTATCGTCAAAGAAATAAACACAACAGCATTAGTATTAATTACAATTATATATTTCTTATTGAAAATAAATAAATTAAACATATTTTATAATAAAAAGTGTATTGTGAATATAGTAATTTGTTATTTTTAATTGGTTTCGTTATACGAGTGTTGATTTTGGGGAGAGTATTTTTCTAATATAAGTATAGTTTTTTTGGTAGAATAATTATTAAAGTACTAAAAGAGGCGTGGATTTTTTAAAGAGTTACTTGAAACGTGGATTTTTAAAATAATCAGCCTTATTCGGGATATTTGCTAGGGAGAGATCTCGCTTGTGAAAAAAATTCCTTATTGCCTTTATACATTCCGTGGCATTTTATTTGTTGTTTTTGAGTTAAAAATATGCATACAACCATTTATAATATTCAAAATCGTCATAGAATAAATATTGTGTAGATATTTTTCACAAAAAATATATATTACTTATATTTTTGTAGTCAGCTGCTCCCTTTAAATTTATTTGCGAAAAATATCGCACAAAATGTCATCACATTCTCCCACTCCCTGTAATCCAGAATAACTATTTTTTTCCCAAAGCGGATTTTTTTGCTTTCGAACTTGATTCAGAATAAGGGAAAAGTGAAAATGCGAAAAAATTCCATGCGAATTCTGGATAAGAATAACAAATTCACGGTGAATTGATGTCAAAAATAAGGCGGAATAATTTTTATAGAATAATCTTTAAGGGAACCGTAAGAAACCGATTTAATCGAAAATGTGCGCATCGTAAGGGAATCGGTCCACTCCTTCTGGTTCCTACCCCACAAAAATGATCAAAATTGTGCTAAAAATGCATTTCATAATATACGAATGGACTTTTCAAGTGATCCAATACAGTTTTGCTTACATTTAACAGAAAATAGTCAACATTTTAAATATCTTTGAACTTGTACACATAATGTAATAAAACTTTAGAATTGCCACAAATCATTGTTGATAAATTTTATAAAGTCTGTGAAGTTTACGTTGAGTTATTTATTTGCATTTGAATTTACCTATCAAAATCGGACTACACACAGAATGTGTATGACCTCAAAGTATGCTACAATTTTCTTTACAAACCAGAAGCAATCTAATAAAAGAAAAATTGCCGTTTTTAAAAATCCATTTTTATGTGATTTTTCTTTTTGAGGTAATAGGTGCCCAGCACCGAACAGTAAGTATATTTCGGAACATCGTTGAATTGAAATGCAAATAACTCAGCGACTACTTAACCGATTTTCATAAATTTTGCACAAATGGTTCGAGGGAATTTTGAAGTTTTATTTCATATCGACAATAGTTAAAGGGACTTATATTAAATAGGATAAAATAAGCAATATGGGAAATTTTAAATATCGACTAATTGTTTGTTACATGTAAACAATGTAGACACTATCTTTGTTCGATTTACATGAAATTTCGCATAGCGTATTGAATTGTGTCTAGAATGACGTGTCCTGTTCTTGGTTGGACATGTTTGCATACCCTCAGGCTAATGAGGGTATATACACTTTGCCACGGCAAAAATGTGCCTCATCGAAATATTGGTTTTATAGACTTCATGTTTCTTTGATCCAAATTTGTTTCATAGGTTGAGGCAACACCGACTGACACATTTTTACTCGTTTCATTTTGTGTGTGATTTTTAAAGGAATAGTCTATTAAGGGACTAATAGAAGTAGAAGTGTTTTAAATAATATTTTTTAAAGGACTAAACGAAGCGTTATATTTCAAATACTACAAAAGGGGGAGATTTGAATGAAAAATATGAAGCCATCCTTTAAAAGAAAAATACAGTAGTATCTCAATTCTTGCAGGTAATGAAAATCAGGTTCGGTGTACGTTTCGAGGTTATCGCAGAATCCGAGATATTATTTTCCATACAATTTTACGTACATATCTGCATAGAATTCACATATCTGCATATGTTTAACATTTCAATTCAAAACAATTAAGTACACATTTTACGTGGAACTGAAAAAAAAATTAATGTTTTTGTTTGTTTTGTGCAAACTTGCTTTTTCAGCACCACACGGCTTCTGAGTCACAGGAGCGTCATAAAATCCTCTAAGGAAGCATTGCTTTGCTCCGCCCATTCTAAGCAAATATTAATGTTGATATAGTCTATTCCCATGGAGCTTTCTTTGTACTGTGTACCACATCGTCGGTTAGGACATCATCGGAGTGCTCTTCATTTTTTGCTGTGGGCGCCAGATGAGGTTCAACGATTCATTCCTCAATTTCGGAATAGGAAATTTGCTGCAACGGTTCTACTTCCTCAAGCAAAGTTGCAATGGATGAATACGTAACTCTAAAGAGGTATTTCATCTTATCCATCCCAGTCGGATGATTTATCAAACATTTTTTGAAATGATGACCTAATAGAAGATGTGCTTACAGCATTCCAAGCTTTCGCTAGAAAGCATATTGCGCCTTTTAAATTGATATTACGCAGAGAATCGGTAATCTTGTGTTCAGTTTTTGCAAAAATGGGTTACCAGAATCAGACATATTCGACAGTTTTTCCCCACATATTTTGAGTCTCCGGATTCCATGTCTTTTTGGAAGTTTACAACCCAACCATTGCTAGCTTATAAGACACTCGGATTTTCCATGATATTAGCATGCAGTAATTTTGCCTTTTGCTTGAGCATATCAGATGTGATTGGCAAGTTCTTCGCTCGTTGATTTGCAAACCATTTGAACAATGCTCTTTCCATTTTTGGAAACTCCGAAGGTTTAAGTGTCTTACTTTTATCGGGACCAGATTCAGAATGTGCGACGAACTTTTTTGTGTCCATTTTTCTTAACACGAGTTATTGTTGATCTATGCACGTGAAAACTTTTGGCTAAGGAGTTTATGGAAAATCCAGCAATTAATTTCTTTAGTATGTCAGCTTTGTCTTTAATTGTAAGCAATGTAAACATTTTCTTTGCCATTATGAAACCGCGCAAAAGTCAGCTTAAAATTGATTGAAATTACTACATTTCATAAGCAGCATAAAACTAAGGGAATTTTATTTAGTCTATGAAAATGTCGCAAGTATCGATTATAAAATTTGCAGATGTCACAAGTACAGAGTACATAATAGTGGATTTTTTAAAAAATAAACAAATATGTTTTTAAAAGCCACAACAGCGTGTATTTTATAGAAAAATTTTAAAGACCATGTCCAAAAGAAGCGGGAATTTTTTAAGGACACTTATGGGGTAGATTTTAATACATATATTTTTAAAGCGCTTTTAGAAGCGTTAGACGCGTGTATTTTATGTAAATATTACATGAAGACGTCATATTTCAAATATAAGATCACAAAATCGCATGAAGATCGTTACCACCGACATGTCTTTAGACATGTTGGCTTTTTTCAACACATTTTTGAACCAGACCCATTCCTTCATTAGTATATTATTGCCATATTAAAATAAAACCATATATTTTTATCAGTTTCCGTTTTTTTAAGGATTTATTTCTTTTTATAATCCATATATAATGTTTTTTTTTTATTATTCGTTCATGTATGTATATGTTTTATATATTGTTCATGTAATATGAATGTATATATGTGTGTATGTAGATAAGATCACAAAAAGCCATAAAGAAAATAATTTTACTAAATATGTCTCGGTAGTTTTTTTGCGTTTTGGTTAAAATTTTTATTTGTTTTCTGATTTTTATAACATTTTCTATCAATTTCTAATATACCTGATTTAAAATACACATTTCATATTTTTTGTTTATATGTATATAGTATAAAGCAAAAGTGATCAGTTACAATATATTTATATTATAGATTCAACTATGCAACTATGATTTTATATGTACGTGTAATAAATTTCATATAATGTAACAGTTTTAAATAAAAAAAAATAATCAGATTTATTCGGGATATTCGCTAGGGAGATATCACGCATCTAACAAAATGTTCGCTTTCACATTCTAGCCTTATTCTGAATGAAAATATGGCAACATAAAATATGGCATGTGAAACAGCTGTTTATTGTTTTGATGCAATTTGGCGTAATAACCGCATTGAACGATGTCAAAGACATGAAATCTGCGATTAAATTTGTTCGCAGTTTATTATTCACTACATAATTGTGTTCCGTTTTATTTAATTTCAATATTTTATCTCTCCAAATTCTTAAAGTGGCAAATTATTGGTTGATATACTCCTTCTCCTTTATTTTGCCCTTCAAAATTAAAATTTGTTAAAAATTTGTATACAATCATTTATAATATTCTAAATCGTCATAGAATAAATATTGTGTAGATATTTTTTATAAAAATATCTATTACTTATGTTTTGTAGTCAGCTCCCATTAAATTTTTTAGCGACAAATTTCGCCCAAAATGTCATTCTTTCCCAAAGCGAATTTTTTCGCTTTCGAACTTCATTCAGAATAAGGCGAAAGCGAGAATGCGAAAAAAATTCACTGTGAAATGTTATTCAGAATAAGTCGAAGGGCAAGAGCGAGTAAATTCACGTGGAATCGACATCCAGAATAAGGCTGATAATAAATATCTCTGATTAAGGACAAAACATTTCCTCACTTAAAAGACTATTTGTGGTATTTTTTTTTTAATAAAATTGTTACATTGTACAAAAATGTTTGTTTACATATTTATGAATATGGTTTTAAATATAAATTTTGTAACCAGCAATTGTGAATATTTATATGTTAGTTGCATTAATGTTTTATTTATTTTTTATGCATTTACAATAATTTACATTTAATATTGTTTTATGAATGAATTCTATTATATATTTGTATATATATACATATATATTTATGCTATTTATAATATGTATATATTACGAACAAAACAGCAGTCTTATATACGATGAAATACCACTTCCACTTCTTGTTTTTCTTTTCTATGTAAAAGAGTGTGTGTGCTATAATGTTAATGAAAAAATTGATGTAATGTGCTACAGTGTTTAGTGGGAAAGTTCAAGGATTTGACAATCTATGGAGAGGTACCAGAAGAAGT